ATTTGAAAGCCCATCTGTGTGTGGCAGGGTGCTTGGTTCCTTGGCTTCCGGTGCTTTCTTCCTTTGCTGCATTGTCCTTGCTTCTGCACGGCAAAGCAGGACACCTGCACATTTGCTGTGATCACTTGATGCAGAAGAACACTGCCAAAGCAAGTCAAACAGTCATTAAGCCATTACCTGTGTCACATCGATCATCATCCTTGCACTGCACCAGCACTGAGGGATGTGTGCACCTGTGGCATGGGCAGCTGGCCATCGACAACAAGCCTGAAACATTGCTTGTGGGAATGTGCGAGCTGGTCCAATTTCGATGCATCCTCCTTCACTCCTTCGCTCCACAATACCAATGTAAAGAAGGAGAGTAGACCGCTGAAACATAGCTCGGGTAGACTCCACCAAAAGTACCAGATCGCTGTGAACATGTCATGTTTGGGCTTCGGATGCAACCCTTGTTTTGGGTTCGCTACCATGATCCTTCAGAGCGCCTGGTTCTGTGGCCACTGCTCCAGGATTCAGATCCTTCCACACGACCACTGTAACGTTTCCCTGTGGAGCCTTTGGGGCTTCAACTGGCCCTGACCTGGTGTTCATGGGGCACCCTTTGTATGTGACCACACCATCAGGGCCCGTTTTCATGAACGGCTGCATCCCTGCCCAGAGCTTCCACCTTCCACACAGCAAGACTGGCATGGTCAGTGCACAGCAGTATTGGTAGTCTGCTGCCAAATCTCCCCTGCCAATCGCAGCCTACACTTACTCGGGGTGATCATGTAGAACAATAGCGGTTCATTGACAATGTCCAGCTCCCAACAACCTGATGTGCAAATTTGCTGCAAGGCCAACACATGATGCCTTTCCAATTGTTGCTCGACTCCCCATCTTTGAAGCAGCTTATTTTGGGGGTCCTGGTACGCAAACTACCAGAATGACACAAGGCACAGTGGGCTGAGTGCTTGAATGTCTCCTCAAAAGCAGCACAAAAGTACAACATACTGTTTATGGCATGTGCCACTACAGAACTCAAAATCTTCAGACAGTTTCAGGTTTCTAGCAGTCTGCACATGGCCGCAGGACTTGGAAAAAACCACCCCATCCCAATGTCCCCAGAGTACACAAGTATATACATCCATGAGTAGCAGAAACACCCCAGAAAATCTCCAATGTTTTTCATGTCAGAGTCGTGGGGTGGGTGCAGCACCCATCAACAAATGACCTCAAGACAGCCTTGCTGCCACCTTATGCTGGCATCCCTTGCATGCACATCCCTGTCCCATTCTAATCCTCAAAACAAACCAGCTATAACCTTGGTGGTCCACAACAAGGGCATGTTTAGGTGTACCTGACGATGAACATGTACCGAATCGCTCTGAATGTGAGCAGCACCTGGCATTTCCCAATGCATGCACATTAACTGCTTCCTCTTTTTGGAAGCAATTACTGTCCTTTGGGAAGCCAGTTTGCTACATCAAACCTGGCCAAACGCCAGATACAACATTCCATTTGAAAACATCAGCTTCCAAATCTCCAGGAGCCATCTGTTTGTCAATTAACAGCAGTGGGCTCCAAGGGAATGGCCCCAAGCTGAAACACCATTTTTGGACGGGTTTGAAGCGCTCCCACATCCACTGTCCTCATCCACTCTTCTCGATTTTCGGATGGCATTGCATGCCCCACAAGAGGTGTCTTGGCTTGATTCAAGGAGTATGCTATACATATACCCTTCGCAAAAAGGGCAGCAACTCATACTGGACAAAAGAAGTACAAATAGAGTGGTAAGTAAATCAAACCGCATAATAACAAATCAAATCATAATGAATCAAACAACATAAGAATTTATTCAGCTATCAATAAACCAGAAATCAAGCATAGATTGGCACTCAGTGGGTGTCAACCTGTCCACAGTAGATGACTTCTCGGGAGGTGTCTGCCATTCCTGGCTCCCAAAGAACACTCGTTCCCCGATGGACGCCTCCACTGGGGGGTTTAGCAGCTGGAAGGTCTGCAGGCTGGGGTTGATGGCACACAGGATCTGGCCTGTGGTCTCGACACCCAGCATCTTGCGAGTTTTCTGACAGCAGCAAAAAAAGCAACATCATTAATGAAGGGAAGACTTCTCAACAGTCTACAGATTTCCACCGCAAACACGGTCAAGTGACATTGTCTTTTATATTTATATATATTTAACTTTCTTGTTAGATAGCACAGAGCCCACACCTCTTTCTACTAGGATGGGAGCCATCTGGGCAATTGAACTCGATGCATTGTTTTGGAATCAAAGAGAACAGCAAAACCGCAATTCAGATATATGACTATCGCAGTGACTTTCGCATTATGCAGTTGTGATGCTGCACTTTACTGTATCCGTCAGTTGCGCAATGAGCTCCCGAGACACTGGGAACAGGCGACCAAGGTTTTGCTACAAAGCGAATCCCAACATGCATGCACAGTGTAGCGTGAGGCACACCTTGCCAGTTTCTCTTGTCAACATCTCCCCTTTTACCAAAAACAATTCACCAAGACACATTTCTTCCACACAGTCTCAAAAACACAGGGGGCTAGTTTTCTGTGTCGTCTCAGCACTAGTGCTTTGATCGCATTTGACTACAAGGGACACAGTACTGCCCTGGAATCTCCAAAGCAATGCCTGGCGTGAATCCACTCGTAGATGGCCATCACCACAATGAATCCAGCTGCACCACAAGATGTAAGCAACATACCAGTTGCTCCTCAACTGGCCACTCTGCAATGCTGAGCAAGGACAGGGCAACTTTCCGACATGCAAGAGCAGTGGATTGACCCCAGTGCTGCGAAAACACGCGTCCAGCCTGCCATGGTCTCACCAAGGCCACACACGGACAACAGGCCAGAATCGTGTCAACTCACAGCGTTTGCTTTAAAACAACAGAGCACAAAAAGTACAGTCGCCTCCTCTGTCCGGAATTGACCATCGCTTTTTGAAGGAGGCCCAGAGCACAAGACCCCCTTGCATCATCGCCCACCCGTCATCCATGGCAAGGTGCAAGGCACCGACTTTGTCTTTCAAAGGCACGTTAAAATCTGAAAGACATGTGCAGTTATTGTCTGAACTGCCTGGAAAGTTTTAATCGCAATTTGAAGAAATTGAGCACCAGGCGCCCGGCCGCACCGTGTTGCACAGGACGACCACCCGCCTCCTTTCCACCTCCTCCGGCCGAAGGAACCTCGCAAACCGGCCGACGATCGTGCGGCTCGCCCCCTCCCCCACGTCCACCTCCGTCACCGCCAGTTCCGCCGACCCCGGATGGGCCCTCGCGCTCACGACCAGCCCCACGCGAATGTCCAGCGCCCCAACGTTCGACCTCCTCACCCGCCGAGGCCTCATGCTCATCGCCATGGCCATCCTCTCCCTGGCGCTGTCGGCACTCGCATCCGCATCGGGGTCCCCAGCAGCAATCTGGATCCCTCGAGCGCAACTCACCAACCCGCCCTGCAGCCCAATCGCTTCCGCAGCTGAGGGGATGATCCATCCGCGCTGGAAGGCGCTCCCACACGCAGCAATGGACAAGCGCCTCACGGACACTTGCGCCGGAGCGGGAGCCCATTGCATGACTTGCTTCTCTTTCTCCTTGATTTCCGATGCGGCGGCTGATTCTGACCCCAAGCATCCTGTGCAGTCGGGGGTCGCTGGGGATCGAAGCCGCCGCCGGGAGGGTACGAGCGTCTTTGATCGCGAGAGAGCGGCGACGGTTGGGGCGCTGGGGGCCTCGGCTTCGCGGAGCAGGGAGACGCAGCGCCGAGCCCAGGTCATGGCCGCGCGGGGCAGGGGCGCCATCGCCGAACCGCTGGGCGCGGGGCCTTGGGGTGGTTTCCTATGCGGGACCGCCCACTTGTACCCTAAAACCCTAAGAACCAACCTAACCTAAACTTAAGGCCCAGCCGCACGAAAACCCAACCCCCGAGCGCCCAAATCCTTTGTCTATCGGGAGCGGCGTCTGTGACGCGATGGAGACAGCCAGGTACTGCCGGGACAGCCAGGGACGGGAACCCAAAGACCAAAAGAGGTTATTTTGTGAGACGTTTTTGATACTTTTCGCATTTTAGTACAACTTTTTGGGGCCTGCGTTGTATTCATGCAATTTTCGTTTCGTTGTGACCTTTTTTTTGGAGGTTTGCTTTTGAGGTGTCGTCAGTGCTGTGGCAGCGCAAGGGAAAGGGGTCGGTGTTTCCTGTTCTCGAGCACCGGCAACTCTCTCGGTGCCAGCACAGGTTGCAGTGTGAGCAATTTGTGCTGCGCCGACATTGTGTCAGTGCGGCTTCCAGCTGCCAATTGCGCATGAGCTACATTGACTGGCACTTTGGGCCGGCAGCATTTGTGCAAGAACAAACCCACGATGGACAGCGCGAGCATGCTGAGCGCATTTTCCCACTGCAACTCGGCCCGGGTCAGCTCAATGCATCTTCCCCCCCTGTGGCAAAGCTCATGATCCAGCCCGCGGCCACCATACCGCCCCGAACCTCAAAAGCACTGGAGTCGACCCAGTATGGCCTTCGTTGCTGCCAGTGCTCGGTGTATCTTCTGCATGGCTGTCACATTCTGACTGGAGTCGATAGCTGTAAAGAGCCGCTTGGTCATTTAACGATCAGGTTGGGACGCGCAAAGACTCGGTTTGGGATTGGAGGCCAGCGCGACAATGAACCCAGGCCAGAATCAGCGGCATGCCTACATACCTAAAGTGTCCAAACAAAATGAACAACGAATTTCGTGCTAGAGTCACATGCGCAAACACAGCGCGCCCTTCGCCACCTGATAGCTCCAATTGCACCTCCACGCGATTGTTCTTCCCAACACTGCCAATCATGCCTGCCCCCTGCTGCCACCCCCACCCCCGGCCCCCGGGACCAGGCGCCCAAACTCCTCCATCGCCCCCCCCACCATTGCGTCACCTTCCAACAACTCCCCACAGCTGCTGACGCAAACCTTCGAGCTCTGCTGGCCCGCCCACGTCTGAGATTCCGGCGGCCCACCAGCGGCAAACGTCCCCCTCGCCTGACGGGGCGGGTGCGCTGCCGGCGGCGCCCACCCCCACAGAACCCGCCAAAACCGCATTTCCGAGGGTGGAACCAAAAACAACATTCGAATATCGAAATCCACGTAGAATATCGAAATCCATGTCGAATATCGAATCAATATCGAATATCGAAATCAAAGCAGAATATCGAGATCAACGTTTGACCGCATCACCCGCCAGGAAACGCGATCAAAGCTTTTTCTTCCACCCTTTGTTTCCAGCACGGCCCTCGCACACCCGTTTTAATCCTGTAGGTGTTTCCTGCACCTGGTGGTGGACACCGGTCGCGGCAGCCAATCGTCACGCGGGGCGCCATTCACAGCGGCACCATCGACAGGTTGGACGCCTTGAGGAAATCCTCCACGGACGGCATGCCCGGCGGGTCGTAGTCGGCCAGGGGCTCCAGAAAGGACGACGCCTTGAGACCCTTGGCCATGCACCGCAGCTTCAGGTCATCCGTGCTGGTGGCCACCGCGACGCCTTGGAGGGCGGCGGAGGACAAGGGGCGCCTGGACGACGAGAGGGGGAGGGGTGAGCCCGCAAACAGCATAGAAATTCACTCGAGGTGTTTCCTCGGATTCCAGATTTTCCGCACATCTGCCAATTCTGACAAATTCACAACTGAATTGGCGTTGCAACAACCCAGGTGCACTCATTCCAACTTTGCTGTGACAAAAGTCCATGTCAAACGCAAAACAAAAAGAATAATCCAGAGTGGACAAAAACTGAGAATAAGCGATGAGTGAACGAGGGGCTGACGGAACTTCGCCAATGAAACTGAAAGTGAAATCGTCTGATATAGGAAAGGGCAGCTACAGGCAACATATTATCAGCTACAAGCAATATCATCTTGAAGTCTCTGCAAAAAGAAATAGTTGAATACACGGTGCTCGGCAATCAACACTGCATCACCCCCCCAGCAGCGCATGTGGCCATGTCAATCCCTTCAAAACGACAGAAACAGTAGGCGCGATAAGCCACCCCGTTCACATTAGGTCGCTACTTAGGCCACGTGCCATAACGACACACAATCGACCCCCTGACTCCCACATCTGCCTCCACATTCCTTGTGACACCTGCACACTGACACCTATTGATTGGAAAATTGGGGTACACATACAATCCCCTCGCCCCCAAAACTGTAGTATATTCAACCCTTCTGCATTGTAATGTAACGTTCGGCCATTTTGTATGGAGCAATGATGAAACATTACACTGCCTAAGACAAGCAGAGCAGCCACAACACAAAAGTCTCTGGAGTATCCGTGGTGTTTAGTGGCCCTGGCTGCATGGGTCACTGTGATAGAAAACAGGCAATTGAGGCCATGCAAAGTGGGCAGAGTCACCATTCCGGTTGTGCCTAGGATGCGGAGCATGTAAAAACAACGGTCCGTCAAAAAATGCGGAGGAAACTCGTAAGGCTGAATTTCGAAATGCGGAATGGTTGAACATACTACGGTATGCACTACTTTGCTGTGCTTCTTTTGCTATATGTGGCTCTCTGTACAGGCAGCTACGGTTACCGCCTTTGGAGATTTGTGCACCCTCAACAGCAGTATGGATAAATGCCTTCACAGTGCCCTGATTGGCACATGTATGGCCATTGTATAGACATGCTCTACTTTGGAACAGTTGCTTGGTGATTCACCTATCCTTTCTATTACCAGATCGCTCATTTCATCCTATATGGTTTATCTTGCCACGTGTACACACTGCATGATTTGTTTTCTTTACATCAGAAGAACAAATCCTGGTGTGGTGTGTCTCACCTGAACTCCGCAGAGGCGATGCCCTTGCACAGGGTAGGCAGGACGTCCACATCCCACACGTTCTGAGCCAAAGCATATCCAAGCAGGTCGCCACACATCGCTGGTGCCTTGGGAATGTCCAAGCTGCAACACAGCCAGTCCACAGTCGTCTCAGTGTTGGGCCAGCGACTCTGAGGAGCGCATATCCACGTGATACAGCTGTTGCAGTATCAAACATGCTGTTCTTCACTGCATCCATAGTATCGATCCACTACATCAATACAGCTGCACTGTGAACGTACAGTGATCTGCACATACTGCAAAAAACTTCAAACTCTCAGGTGTCTTACCACACTGGCCAATTACTGTCTCTTTCACAGTTCTTGATAGTGTTTCAATAGTGCTTAACTGCCCAGAATCGTGTACCATTATCATGTGGTTATCATGTGGATCCTTGGTTTTTGCGCCAGTGGCGCAGCTGCACCAGGAGAATCACTCCAAGGGTTGTGCTAAATTGACATTCCCACTGGAAACCCACTGGTCGCCCACTCAGCTGCAACAGATGCAACGAGCCCAGAACCAACGAGATCTTTCCCAGCATGCTCTTTCCAGCATATGAGATCCCAGATTCACGGCTCAGAATTAGGCCTGGGCTTGTTATGCCCGATGGTAAAACCCAATACTCGGCCCTTCCGCATCAGAAAATTTCACTGTTACTATTTGTGCTCGGCATTTTTTCAGCAGGCCACCATTTTGGGGGCTCCGCATCATGGTCACAGCCGGACTGGCGACTCGGCTTCGTTCACATGGCCTCAAAAGTCAGTTTCCGCCACAGCGACTCATGCATCTTGGGATGCTAGACGACATGAGCAGTCCAGAGACCCTCGCATTGCGGTTAGGACTGGTGTACACTTTCTTTGGCACCATCACGTTTTCACTATTGCTCAGCGGAAAAGGCCAAACATTATGTTATCACGTGGAAGGGTTGCATATTTCGCGGTGCTCAGTCAGGTAAGGGTAACAGCGGTCCCTGCACTATCCCACAAGTGCCTTTGAACCCATTGTGTGAACAGCAAGTAGCAAGACAAAGCATTGGTGCCCTGCAGGCAAAGGCCACCACTTTAGACAAACTAAGCATGAGGCAAAACTACTGTGAACGCAGACTGCAGAAATGTTTCATTCTTGAGTCCACACTGGTACACAGGATGCTGATGCCAGGTGCAGCTGTAGCAACACGGCACGCTATGTCTGCCCAGCTACCGTGCACTCACAGAGCTGATCATCCTTTTCGCATTTGATTTTGCACTTCTGTCTTGCTAGGGGCCAAAAGATTGGCAATCTTTCTGCTGGGACGAGGAAGGCCCCCAAGTCCACAACCAACCACTCAGGGTGTCAGGGGCAGAAGGGAAAGAAGGCTAAAAGCTCGATGGAAAATTAGGAAAGAGGAGGAAACACAAAGCCTGCAGCAAATAACAGAAGATTGGAACAGGGCGAAAAAGGGAGTGCAAAATGTTGATTTAGGGACAGGCCGGCAGACAAAAAGCTGTACACTGTTGCACTATTCTGCTACACCATGGCATACTTGGTTGCAATACTGCAGCAACATTCCGTGTACTTGTCTTTCACACAGTGCCTGAAGCTGTTTACAAAATCCTCTTTGGAGTCTGTGTGGGACTCACCTGAGGTCGTCCAGCTGGTCTGTGGTGGCCTTGAGGCCCGAGAGCAGCTCGTCCGCAGCGTACACCCCCTCCTTGCACATGTCCACCATCAGGCGCGCCAGCATCTTCTGGTCCCGCTCCGGGACGGACTCCAGCATCTGGTTGATGCCCACCTCTAGAAGGCTGACGATGCCCTCCGGGGTGGCGATCTCTGATGCGCAGCGCAGTGCCTCGGACTTGTCGGCCGCAGACAGGTACTCGCTGTACATGGACTTGGCCTTCTTGACACGCTCCTCGGGGGTGAACTTCTTGGAGGGGGCCGGCCTAGGGATGTAGGCAGGAGGGGATCAACACAAAGACGAGCAAGGGAAGGCAGAGGAAGGGAAAGGACAAGGGAGGGGAAGTGTGAGGGGGCAGGGAACGACAATGCAGGTGGAAGGATGGGATGGCGGTGCGGTGGATGGTGATGGGCTCTTTGGTGAGCAACAGCAAGCTGTCAAGTGCAGCGTCTGCGATTTGCTGATTCCGTTGCCTGTGTATGCGTCAGACTGTTGCAGCACAGCAGACACCGGGTATCTGGCTTGCTAGATGCTTCTGTGCTTGTTTCTCCCCCTGCAGCATCGCTTGCACTTAAAATGCCAAGTACCATGGATCTCACGACCAAATATAGTCTCATTGTGAAGTGAAAATTGTCTCTGTACGACAGACATCCTGCACAAGACAATCTAATATTCCACATCTTTTTGGCATACCCACTACAATGTGTTTAAAAGCCAACATTGCTTGGCAATAGCCCTGCGCAAGAAATTGCACACATTATTCATACAATGTGGCTATTCTAATTCCCACTATCCATATTTCAATTTTCACATCAGTTCATGCTCAGCACGAGTTTTCGCTGGCTTTTGTGTGGCACACCTCGCCTGCGCCTTGTCCGCCGATTGCAAAGGCTTGGCAGATGCGGGTGGGCTCATCGCTGCAGGCCCAGCCACTGCTGGTGCAGCAGCAGCAGCAGCGCCCCTGTTGAACTTTCTTGTAACGGCCTGAAATACATCACAATGCACAAGCTATGAGCATATTGCACCAATTACAGCAGCTTGTCACGTTGCAGATCAACTGCATCCTGGACCACCACAGTGCCATACTGCACAGCAACCACAGTGCACAGCAGCGCAGTGCTAGAACAGTGAAGTGAAATTTTATATATATATACAAATTGTATATATACAGATTGTATATATGCAAATATTGCACAGCAAAACTAACTACTTGCAGCCATCCCACTGCCCAACCCCGCCCCTTGCATAAGGGGTGAAATGCCACACAGCTTTTCACACCCTTACAGTTGTGCATGAACATGACTGCGAAGACGAAAAAAACACATGCTGCTCTGCTTTCACTTGTGCTTGCGCAACAAGTCATCGTCGATCGGACTTTCAGAGTCATCGCAGGTCAGATACACACGACCCTGTCCCACAAGCAACATCCAGCAACCCCATCTGAAGCCCACATCATCTCTTCAAAGTATCTCGAAATGGCTTCAACAAAATACCTGTTGTCCAATCGTTCATCGACAAGTATCATTCTGTTGTTGCACAACCAAGATCTGGAAAACCTGAATCAGGGTGCAAGCTGCAAAGCTTTGTTTCCTACCTTCCAGTCGTCGTCCGCGTACTTCTGTGGCGCAGGGAACAGCTCAGAGTCGTCGGCTGGTGTGACAACAGCTGGCCTTGCCTGTGACTGTGGGCGGGTCTGGGGGACTGAGAAACAACAAACATGTAAGGGTGAGGATGCTGCACCAAAGAAAAGAGCGATGAACCAGGGGGAATACAGTGGGGAGCGGCTGCAGGGCGTTGACAGGCCCTTGCTGATGAAACAAGGAAGGAATTGGCAGGATGCCCTTGACTGGGCTTGGCTGCCAGGAGCATTTGAGGCCAAACAAACATTGGCAATTACTCAAGGCACAGGAGGCAAATGTGCCACAAGCGCATTAACCGCACAAACAACAACGAATATGCCCAGTTGTTGATCTGCATTTAGTGAATATTGTGCATTTAATGAGTACTGTGAACACCACAAGTTTAGCGGCCTTGCATATTGAAAGAAGATGTGCCATGTTCCTGTCTGATCAGTCACAAACATCCTTGAGCAACCTTCCACAAATCGTCAGGTTGAGATACTGCTTTCGATCCTCAAAAATACCATACTCGTAGCGCAGTTCCTTTCCAGGCGAGAACTTGCAGCGGTTGCTGCTGTTGGTGTTGTTGGCACCCCATTGGACTGACTTTAACTTGGTGCCTGGCATTTGACATTTCAGAAGCAGCGTTCCATCCAGGACATGGGAGAGAATGGGTCTTTGCCAACACATGGGCACCACGCAACCATGCAAGGTGACCGACGTGTTGAAGTTATTGTTTTCGCTGCACAATTGCACACGAGGTGCTGGGCTGAAGCCTTCAACTGAAATTCCGACACTGCACAAAATGTGCGGCAGCATATTGACCTGCATTGATAAAATGCAAAAAGGTTAGAACTTGGCAAGTTCCTGTGCTTGGTTCACGATGTGAAACACAACATCGTGTACAAGGCAACAGGGCTTCGTTTCATTCCAAGAGCATGGTTGACGGATTGCGATCAAAACCGCATACACGGCTGGTGCGTGACCATGACCTACGTCTGATCGTCACCCCAAGGTCCTTCTGTGCCTCTGTGCGGATTTCGTCGATCTTCTTTGCTGTGAATCGCTCCCGCCTTGGCTGCCAGTTGTTGTTCTTCATGTCAAGGATGTCACGGATCATGAAGCGGATGCGTGAGGAGAGGGTGGGGCTGTTCGAGTATCTCTCCAGCCGGACCATGTATGCCGGCAGGTGCTTTGCAAACCTCTGAGAGGCTGCCAGCTTCTTTCCAGCCAGAGTCAACACCTCACAGGTGGCCTAATCACACAGACAGAATAGCACCAACTCAAGTTGGCAATGCATAGACTGATTTCCTGACTCTTGGGTTCGTCACAGACCAATGCAAAGACTGCACAATAACTTTGGCAATGATGGGCATGATATACACCCAATGACACATTTTGTCCCCAAAACTGTGGTACAGGTTGACAAGATTTCTTCATTGCTACTTGACAAATGTGCCATTTGTTGCACATTCTGATTGCCTTCTTGTACTTCATTCCTTCACTCCATTATCTCTTGCATACTTCGTTTTCTTGCTCTGTTAATAACTGTGTTGTTTTACAGCCAGCTCATATTCCAGGTCTATTCGATTTCAATCATCATTAACTTCCTTTCATTGCAGTCGCCAAAAACAGAGAACGCACAGCCCAAGCAACCATCACACGATGATGAGCGCAAATCCACACACATCACTTGTTCATATTTCAATTGATGACAGGCAAAGCCAACAAAATTGTGATTTTCTTGATTATTTTTGGCAGAAAGTGACAAAGTTCTGTCAATGCACCTCCCAAGGGTACCACGAGCACATTCTATCAATACCTGTTTCATGAAGCGCCTGACCACAACCCCTGGCCAGTGGTCAGTTGCCAAGATTACATGCCACCACGGGGTGCATCCATACATGGAATTCATCTGCTGACACGATGTTGGAATGAGTCCATTTTGCTGCTAACAATACATTGCTGGCGCTGGAACACTGCTGTCAACACAGGCAGGACTACACACCAAACCCTGAGACCATCTTTACCAGCAGGTGCTGTTGTGCTGACAGTGCTATTCGGTCATCCGAATAGCAGCGCATGTCAGAAAACAACAGCTGTCCAACAACAACAGCTGAGGGAGCAAGAGCACACCTATGCCATTCAACCCCAAGTGATGCTATTCGGGGTTAAATAGCACCGCTCCAAGCCAAATAGCACACCAGAATAGCATCAAGTGCTATTCGCACAGCAAATTGCAGTGGTGTTTTGCAACAGCCCTGTTGCCATTCGGCAGGAGGATCCTTGCCTATAGCACCCACACATGCAGATGCACTCCAGGGAACATTACCACGAGTGCTATTTGGCAAATGCCTGCCTTAGTAAGGTGGCATGGCTGCCAATGAGAATTGCTACTATAAAGCACTGCTGGTGCAATAGCACCCACTGACAAGATCCCCTGAATACCCTGAATCCTGTACAGCAATAGCAAAGCATCATGAGCTTTGCATTCTATTACCACCTCTCTTACTTCTGTGGTCAATGTATCCCAAACTACGAAGTATCCGAAAGCCAGGGATCACCACAGAAGAGAAAGGGAGGAATACATCTCCAACATCCCTCAGCACTGCTTCCCATTTTTAGAGGCAATTTCAAACTGAGAAAAAAAGCCAATCAGCAAACTACTGGGGGTGCCAGCACTGCATCCATCTTCAATAGAGGGTTACTAACCTCCAGGTTATCCTCTGCCGGTGTTTCTGCATCGTTCTCCGTCTTCAGGAGCTCCCCTAGGCATGCGTGCATGATCTTCTCCATCACCAAGCCCTTCTTGTAGAGCTCAGAGATTAGGCGTACGTTCCCCAAGGTCCTGTTCTTGAGCGCCCGCTCCTGCGCTTCGCGCTCTGATTCGCTGGCGGCTGCTAATCTCTGCAAGGCAAGCAGCAGCAAGACATGCTGGGCAGTCAATACTTCCATTTCTCTGTTCCAACATATCTCGATGCAATACACCATGACCACAAATAACTCTAGCAAACCAACAACACATAATCAGGTTTATCAAAAGAACACATTTAAGAGTCAGGCTACCAGCTGCACCCCAACAGCCAACATGTGGGCTATCATGGCAGCAAATCTGATATTCCCTGCAACACACATTCACACCAGCAAAAGGATGGAACTGGCCTTCAGGAAGTAAGCTAAACTATCAGACAGTCTTGACAAGCATCCTGGCCACAATGCCAGACAGCTGGTGCCCGCTCGTCACCATTCGTTGCCACTGACACCTGAACACACTCACTTTCAAGGCATCCCAAAGCCCCCTTGCAGGAACTCTTGAGAAGCCACTTCACACATACTCACCCTCACTGCACTGTGAACTTACCTCCCTGAACTCCGACGTCCCCTCAAATTCATCCTGGCATGTGTTGAGCAATATCCTGCGGAAGGTCATGGGCTTGTCCTCCCCCTCTGCAGGTGGAAAGTCCGACAGCTGAGCAGCCAGCTTCTCTCCCAGCTGAGCGTACAGAGCGCAGAAGGTGGGCTGGTTCACCGCCATCTCAAACACCAGGGAGATGGTCTGCCGCAGGATTTCAGCAGTGGCCACCAGCGCCACCAGTTGGGACTGCAGCCGCTCGAAGTTATCAGGGGTAAGTTTGTTAAGGATGCCCTTGATCGTGCGGACCGTCTGGCAATGCGACATATGAGACATAATGTCAGCAAGTCATTGTTTTGTTTTAACCTGTTCTCATCCTGCACTTGAAAGTGTGCACAAGAAGCTCGCAGAACAAAACTCGATCGCATGGTTCCTCTCCTTATGGCTGTAAAAGCAACAGATTCACCTGCTCTCGATTTGGCTGGTTAGGACAACAAACAGGGGCGAATTGCTACGATTTCACCTCATTGGTTGAATTGCAGAAACAGCTGGTTGGATTCACAGTACAGGGGGGCATAAACTACTGAGGAAGCAGTTTTCAGCAAAGGTCAATCTTTTGGGTGAATGAATGCAGTGCTGGTTGGATGCCGGAATGCAGTGGGTACCAGGAAGGGGTGGCAGACAACGAATGGGGTTCGCAGTAGGCCGCGCAGTGAGGGATGGATGGGCAATACCATGTGCACATTTATCCCATTACGACAGGCCATAGACATGTTGGGCACCAGACGGGGATACTGGGACACTGGGGACACTGGGATCCTTTCTGGCACCCAAAGTCTCTCAATAGGTGCAAGGGCAGTGCTTTGTGAATTCTTGCCAAAGCGGTCACTGCAGTTATCTGTCACTACCATTCGACTCTCCTTCTGTCACCTTGGCATATGTTTCCCACATTAAAGACTAAATGAACGGCAGCATGAGACCCAGGACACCCAACAGACTCGGACAGCTCATGTTGGGCAGCAACCAATAGGCAAACACACACATTCACCATGGCTTCTTCTGGATACTGCCAGCTAGGTGGGGACTAGGAATGCCAATATCGAGCTTTCACCCAACTTGTGGGACAGTATTGGCCATTCCCACCCAGACCTTTCCCCTCACTTCACCATCCCTTGCTCTTCTGAAGGGAGCCGATGCCAACGTGAAAGTCCCTGCCATACAACCTGGCACACCTCCTGCAGGATGGATAACCGAGCTCCACCAAACGCCCCCCCCCACCACCACCACCACCCACACACACACCTCCTCCCCCCCAAAAATAGAACTTAAATATAGCTTAAAACACAGCTTCAGTAATAGCTTAAATATAGCTTCAACGTGGCCATTTCCCCCCCCATTCCAGACAACTGCTTATAGGCTCTTGTCTGGGCGTCCATTTGCTGGGTTGCATGACGACTCCCTCCATTTGTCTGGATTCTAGCTTGGCTTCTTAGTTGAGGCAATGCTTGCAGGGTGGGTGCTTGAGGAACAGAATCAATGCCATAGTTTTTCCACCAAAAGGCACCAGCCAAAGAACATGTGGAGAAACAACTGACTGAATGGATGTGTCAACACACACAAACTACAAAAACCAACATGTTCATGCTGATATTGCCTTCGTTGCTCCCACACCTCATACAATTTTATGCATTTTTTTGTGATGACACATATGCGCTGGAGATGGCAGGCATTGCTACTGAATTCAGACAACCAGCTGCAGTCAAGCCTCCAGCACTCTGCAGGGGACTATCTGGGGACAAACTGGCACGGTGTTGGAGAAAGCTACAAGTACCTTGGCTTCTTCGTCAGTGGACTGCGAGCTAGTGCTCTGTGCTCCAATGGGCCTGTATGCCTCTCGGCCTTGTTCCGATGCCTTGTTCAGGGTGGAGACCTTCGCATACTGTCAGATGGCAGCACAATCCCGAACTGAGAATCGCACACGTCAATATTTGACCACTGGAAGGAATTGACTCTCAGTTGTGGACAAATGGAGGATTTACAGCAAAAAAAACTATTGCCCACCTGTAGATGCTATTTCCTTCCACAACATAACACTCTGTATTTCTGGGCTCAGCCACACAACAAACCCCACACCTAAACTGCAGAAGGTGTTCTGACACAAGACTGGGCGCTTAGCACACTCTCGAGGTCAACAAGAATGGTACAAAATGATACATTGCTTGCTGTTGAGCATCGATCACCCATGCAATCTGACTATAACAATGGCACACACACAGAGCAGACATATCAAGACCCCCCAGTCACGCAAATGGTGCACGTGGTGTGCAAGCTACACATCAACAATACAAACTGTCTCTGGGAACACTCTCCCTTTCTCGTCCCACAGGCAGCTAAGCACACGTCCAACACCAGATTGCGAACAGCAGAATAAGGTGCAAGGTTGGCAAGTGTGGGTGAGTGTGGATTTGGACATTTCAGGTGACAGAACAGCACCACACATCCCACTTGTATTTTGGAGGTACCTGCGCAGCATTGCCTGCCTTGTAATACAAAAGCAGCCAGAGCTGAGGCACCCAGACAAAAATCAAGCCTTTCCACAAATGGGCCCTCTGGCTCAAACGACCTTTTGATGGAAAGAAATCGAACGCATTGATGGGCGCAACCTTGCAACAATCGACAGAGCACCTCAGTGCCATCGCAGAACCGCCTTTGGGGAGCATCTGCCCACCCAAACTGCCAGAGTCGTCAGATCAGCTCCCTCTACATTAAGGACTACTGTTTCGCAATGTGTCAATGCCATTGTCAATGTGGTTGCAGGGACGTTCCCCAGATCATGCCCAAGGATTTACAGCACCCTATAACCATCAGAGGCACACTGGACACTGCAACTCGAATCACACAATCTCGCTGGCATCTACTAACCGTTTGGATCTAAGACCCCTATTGTTTTCAGATGCAAAGTATAACCCAGTAGGCCCCACCCAGCACACTTTGCTGCACATTCAGCACCCTTATCTCGCGCATAGGACTGGGCAGGGGGAGCCAAGACCCCTCATCTCGCCACCAGTGCGCCGGAATCGTGCACAGTCGATTTGGCATCGCCCTTCCCGCCCCACAGCAAGACCCACCTGCTGCTTGGACACGGGCTGTCCGCCCGCGCGGCCGCCCATGTTGGGGGGCGGCGTGGGGAACTGCGCCTTCCTCGCCGTCCAGTCCCTGTCGTCCACGGAGTCGGAGGTAGACGCCTGCGGCCGCCCGCCGCCACGACAGCGCTTCAGCATTGTCCCGGACCGCCCAGGGCGCCAGGGGCACCCCGGCGGGCGGAAAAAGAGAAAACCATGCGATGAATTTCGGGACGCAAAGGGCAGGGGATTGGCGCACAACAGGCCCGGCCATTCCGAAGTGTGAAGGCCATGCGGTGGGCACGCGTAAGGCCGGCTGCGGCCGACACGCCCAGAGTGGCGACGATCGTCGGCCGTGCGGAGAGCACGCGGAGGCTGGGAGATCTCCCAGAACGGGTTGGGAGAGAGCACGTGGGTGCGTGGGGCTGGGGCGGGGTGGGGCCTCACCTGTTGGAACGTGCGGTTGAACATGAACACGCTGCGTTCTCCAGCCGTGAAGCATGGCAGGTAGGTGGGCACGTTGTCTGGCAGACCCGTGTTTCCCTGCGGCCGGCCAAGGTCAAAGGCGTTGCCGATGACAGTCAGCCGACCCAACCGGCTGGGCGGGAGCGCCGGCCGCGCGGCGGCTCGCGCGATCGGCTCATGGCGCCGCCGGGGCGGCAGGGATGGAGCGTGGCGGATCGAACCAATCCCCGGCCACCGCGTTCCCGAGCCGCGATGGGGGGGATGCGGCAAATGGCCCGGCGGGGCAATCAGATGCCGGCGCGGGGTCGGGGCGAGCATCGCGCGGCCGAGGGGGCCAGGCTCACCTCCCGCAGGCCCTCGAGGAACTTCCGGCTGTATCGGATCCGCTCCTCGGGTTTCCGCGCCGGCTTGTCCTCCCAGGGGTCATCCTTCACCTGCGGTGGGAGTGGCGGCCGCAAGCCCGCACAAAGGCCGTTGGCCGGGGGGTGGCTCAATCCATGCGCCCCTCCCGGCAGGCGGCAAAACGCGCGGGGGAATGGGGCAGGCCCCAGAGCCCCGTCTCGGCACATTCTCAAGGCGCTTTTGCGCCCCTCAGGGCCTTCATCGCACCTTTCGCCGAATGTCGAAGCCGGCGCCCTTGGAGAACTGGGCGAAGGGATTGCCGGCGCCGCCCGGCCGCAGCGACAGCGGCCGCAGCGAGATGTTGTCCTCGTTGTCGATCATCGGGTCTGCGGCGGCGGGGCGCGTCCGGAGGGCGAGGAAGCGGGGCCGGGCGGGCGGGGGCGGTGCGGGGGTCAATGAGCGGACCGCGCCCGACGTCTGGGGGCGGGCGAGTGCGGTGGGGGCCAGGTGTAGCCAGCCCCGGCCTGCGGCCACGCCTGCGGGCCGTGCGCCTTTTTTTTGGCGCCGGGGGCACCGGGGGGCCAGGCTGAAGACATTTTTCTGTTTTTTTGCCCTCCCGGCAGACACACGTGTTCCCCGGCCAATTGGTGTGGCCGCCAACGCTCCCAGGGAGTGCGTTTGTTCCATGCACGGGTGCATCGACATGACGTAACGGCGTCGATCAACGCGGCTCACGAATCCGGTGTGCGAGGGGCACAGCCAGGCCGG